ACTAATTTGCCGAATGAGTTTATATGCTCTGAACATCACGAAAATAATGTTAGCAATTACGAACTGATAACGAGTCAAAATTATAGTACCTTACTGTATTTTAATCACAATAGTTTTCTAGAACACCACCCATTACGCCAAACATTTTATCCGTCTCAATAATAATTTTATCAATTACAAGTTAATAAAAAATCACAATAATATTTTGATCCCAATAATTTTCCAGAAGTAGACTTGGGATCAATCCACCCACATACTCCATCTTAATCCTTCTGCCCTTCTTAATTATCGCAAAAACCAATTGTTGGCAAACAAGAGCTCGATCACGTTAATAATATGCCTAAATACACGATGTAGTGAGAGGGGGGGCGGGGAGGGGGGCGGGGAGGATAATGGGGAGAGGGGAGGGGAGAGAGGGGAGGGGAGACAATGGGGAGGGTGGGAAGGGGAAGACATCGCAGCTTCCAATATTGGTAAACGATCCCATTAGGCGATAAACACAATCTCGATGAGGATCTAGAGAGACATCGCTTAATATTCATGAGACAAAATCGTGTCGGAATTAAACAGCGCCTTATCCGCACGCTCCATACCGGAGGATTTTACACACCCACTCAATTATCCGGATGGTAATATACTGGAAGATTTTACATACTCCCAGCCAATTAATCGCACATTTCCACATTGGAGGATTTTACACACTCAAGTCATTTATCCGGACGGTACTATAATGGAAGATTTTACACAACCAGTCAATTATCTTGTTCTCGTGAGTTCACTGGATAATAATTTAGGGGACTGGAGATCAACTATTAGATAGTTTTCATGCAAATTTGTGCTAATATTGCAAACCTCAAGACCATTGCAGAGCTTGAACTAGGCACCAAGCAGAACCGGAAAAGCAAGTTTACAACGTTTTATCATTATATCTGAAAAGTTGATAGTGTAATATCCGTTCAGCAGCTCATGTTGCAAATCATGTTTATTTCACTCATGTTTTACTCAAGAACTCATGTTTATTTCCGACTTTACCATCACCATCAGCGCCACCTGTTGAGGGGTTGTTGTCTCTCTGACGTTCGTACATCTTCGACACTCAATGATAACAACGTCGACCCATTAAGGTCTGGTGTTTGGCTAACCTTAGGCCCACCTCAATTACCTTACTGACTAACCAGCAAGTATACTTTAATCCTGAACATAGTTCAGAACTAAAGTAAACTCAGTGTATATACATCCAGCAGTGAGGTAAACCTCTGTGTATATATATATATATATATATATATATATATATATCCCTGATGAGATAAAGTAGTTTTCATAGTTATTAAATCTCCAGGGATCCTTACAAGGAAGTATTTCTATAAGCAAAGATATTCGAAGAACACGTCCATTTTGAGTAAAGTTTTTAGTAACCGCAATATCAAATAAGGAAAATATAACTGAAAACAATGACAAGTGGACTATGCAGTATATTGAATATTAACAAAATTCATTGATTAAAATAAGCATGTTTTTAACTATCTAGAAACAAATTATACCGTTAGAAAATAAATTAGCTTCTCACCAAATTTCTATATCGATGAACAAAGTAGTCTTTTAATTTGTTTAAACATTCAAAGAGCCAAATAAATACAATTGCGGTGAAGTAAAATGCTACGAGTGTAATAACAACTGCAAATAATATTGTTTCTCACAACAAAAGCTAATGTATTTCAGATTATCAAAAATGTTTCGTGATTTTTGTTGATATAATACATAAGTAATATTAAAGTCTGTCATTGTGTAAAAGCAATGCTGTAATCAAAACAATTGTTCAAATATTTCTCTTGCCCGATAATGAATTAAGAAACAATTTGAACTCTTGTCTCATTGCAGGTTATCTCTGTTCATGTTCAAAACGACAATAAAAATAAATAGCATTTCAATAGCAAAATCAAAACAAACGAAGTGTCACGTCATAATTAATCATCTTAAATCACCAGACATATCACCCATCCCTTACTCATAATCACTTACATAATCCCCAGACATAATTATGCACCAAACATAATCACCTTCCGTATCGCCAAGTAGGCCTACCCCAAGTAATGATTACAAACTACTCCAAAACTGTTATATGAATTAAGAAGACCCAACCACACGTGAATTATGAAGACCTAGCCTCATCCAACCACACGTGAATTATAAAGATCTAGCCTCATCCATCCACACGTGAATTATAAAGATCTAGCCTCATCCATCCACACGTGAATTACAAAGATCTAGCCTCATCCAACCACACGTGAATTACAAAGATCTAGCCTCATCCAACCACACGTGAATTACAAAGATCTAGCCTCATCCAACCACACGTGAATTACAAAGATCTAGCCTCATCCAACCACACGTGAATTATAAAGATCTAGCCTCATCCATCCACACGTGAATTATAAAGATCTAGCCTCATCCATCCACACGTGAATTATAAAGACCTAGCCTCATCCAACGCCACGTGAATTATGAAGACCTAGCCTCATCCAACCACACGTGGTTTATAAAGATCTAGCCTCATCCAACCACACGTAAATTATAAAGACCTAGCCTCATCCAACCACACGTGAATTATAAGGATCTAGCCTCATCCATCCACACGTGAATTATAAAGACCTAGCCTCATCCAACCACACGTGAATTATAAAGACCTAGCCTTATCCAACCACACGTGAATTATAAAGACCTAGCCTCATCCAACCACACGTGAATTATAAAGACCTAGCCTCATCCAACCACACGTGAATTATAAAGACCTAGCCTCATCCAACCACACGTGAATTATAAAGACCTAGCCTTATCCAACCACACGTGAATTATAAGGACCTAGCCTCATCCAACCACACGTGAATTATAAAGACCTAGCCTCATCCAACCACACGTGAATTATAAAGATCTAGCCTCATCCAACTACACGTGAATTATAAAGACCAAGTCGTCTTCCCATCGACCAAAATAAGTGTTTGTTGACTCCTTATAAAAGCTTATGCCCGAGTGGTCGTGCCCGCCACTTGCGGAAACATCCATCTCGTACTTCTCCTACAGCAGTGGTATTCCAAGAGTCGAAGTCAACCAGTAATGTGTCATCATCAGAGGACCCAGCCAGCCTGACGGAGCTTGGTGGGCAAGTAGACAGAGGTGAGGTAATCCGGGTTGATATGTGTCAGGCTCTGAATCTCCGCTTTGTAGCCAGACTCTTGCTGCTCGTGAATCTTGCACCAGACCAAAATCATTATTCCAGCTTTGTAGAAAACGCTTAGGGCATAATATGTAATTGTAAAATGAATGGAAGCTAATGTAAATATTTTAAGAATTCCCTAGCAAACAAGGTAAGCTAGTCACCTGTGTGAGCCAGGCGGGGCTCCTGGAGAGGGCGGGGTGGGCGGCGAGGGAGGCCAACTTCCCGTGGTCGGTCGGTGTGAGCGGCAGGAGAGCATGAGGTGGGAGTTGTAGCGCCGGCAAATCCGTGGGTAGAATGCCCAGCCAGGCCAGGCTGCTGACGGCTAGACCCGGGTCCTCCCGCGCCTGTGAAGTGAAGCACATGTAAGTGGGAGAGTACATGTGGATTCAACGGAGTTTATGGGAGGACACGTGGGTACATGCAAGAGCACGAGGGGATGACAGACAACAGAAAACCTATAGGTCCGTGACTGATATTTGCTGGGGAAAGGAGACAGACTACGCTACTACTGACTAACGTCTATGTGAATGGAAATCAGGATAGAAAATATAGTCTCTCAGTCTCTCTGTGTCTCTGTGTGTCTCTGTCTCTCTGTCTCTCTCTCTCTCTCTCTCTCTCTCTCTCTCTCTCTCTCTCTCTCTCTCTCTCTCTCTTCGCTACTCTTCATTCCTTGAGGCTTATTTTGCCGACAGAAAAAAAAGTTTAGAATGTAGCACAAACTGTGATGAGTGTAGCAAGGGAAAGATAACGATGATAGCGGAAATTGATATCCTGACGGAAATTAATTTTAAGACAGAGTACGTTCGAAGGACACCTTTATCCAGTTGATAGTTAACGCAAAGGCGGTTAACGCTAAATGATATCCTGGCGTAAATTAAACGGAACTTTTACTAAAAACAAGACAAAATATTTTGGATAATTGAAACTCATCAGCCCATCTTCCAAATAATGAGAGCACCCATACCAACTATCGATGGTGTATACAAAATATGTATTGTTACACACATTAAAAAAAAAATTGTACTAATGATATATTAAAATTAATATAAAAAATTGCATCAACCTGACCTAACCTGTTCTAAGCCTAAATGATCGATAACCACACGCACACACTCACTTTGTATACACCAACATATATATATTTGTATATATACCAACATAGATGGAGTGAGAACAAAATATTGGATCTGAAAGATATAATTCGGCTTAAGATCCCAGATATTATTGCACAATATTAATATTATTGATAAAAGAGGTGATATGATCACCACATATAAAATTCTAACAGGAATCGACCAAATGACAAGGAGGAATTCCTGAAACCAGCAACATCACGAACAAGAGGACACGGTTTCAAGCTAAGGAAACAAGCTTTTTTTTTCGGCAAGCTAAGGTGCCGAAAAAAAACATTAAGAAGTTTTCTTTTGCAAACAAGAGTGGTAGACGGTAGGAACAAGCTAAGTGAGAACGTGGAAGAGGCCAAAACCATCAGTAGTTTCAAAGTGTTATACGACAAAGAGTACTGGGAAGACGGGACACCACGAGTGTAGCTCTCATCCTGTAACTACACATAGGTAATTACACACACATACACAGAGCCACCATCAATTGTTTCATGCGAGTGATTTTTTTTTTTAACCATAACTACATTGTGCCACATTAAAAATTAACAGCAATAATTTGCAAATGCTGAAGTGCATTTAAACTGCATTTACAAATGTGAGTTGGAAACGGTCGAAAAAATAAACTTAATAAACTTAATGCATTTAATCAACAACAATAAAAATATAATAGATTGATAACTATTTATCCATCTATTATATTTCCATTTATTATCTATTTATCAACAATGAATTTTGAATTGAAATCTGTTGTGACTTATTTGAGGATTGGAGACTCGAGATTGGGTACTGGGAATTGATGTTATTTCCGAATTTTGGACTGGGAATATGGATAATTTTTCCCTGGGCCTAAAAACGGGTACATTTTCAGTTTGAAACTGAGAATGATTAAAATTTCAGATTCTTGAATTTATTATAGATATAATTATAATATTTGGGACTGTTATTCCCTTATGTTAGGCTAAATCGCTGTATTTTTTACGGAGGCGAAATCGATAACAACGAACGATTTCGTTGTTAGCATCAATATATGAGGCTATGAGTACAGTAGAGCATCAATATATGAGGCTATGAGTACAGTAGAGCATCAATATATGAGGCTATGAGTACAGTAGAGCATCACTATGAGGCTATGAGTACAGTAGAGCATCAATATATGAGGCTATGAGTACAGTAGAGCATCAATATATGAGGCTATGAGTACAATAGAGCATCACTATGAGGCTATGAGTACAGTAGAGCATCAATATATGAGGCTATGAGTACAGTAGAGCATCAATATATGAGGCTATGAGTACAGTAGAGCATCACTATGAGGCTATGAGTACAGTAGAGCATCAATATATGAGGCTATGAGTACAGTAGAGCATCAATATATGAGGCTATGAGTACAATAGAGCATCAATATATGAGGCTATGAGTACAGTAGAGCATCAATATATGAGGCTATGAGTACAGTAGAGCATCAATATATGAGGCTATGAGTACAGTAGAGCATCACTATGAGGCTATGAGTACAGTAGAGCATCACTATGAGGCTATGAGTACAGTAGAGCATCAATATATGAGGCTATGAGTACAATAGAGCATCAATATATGAGGCTATGAGTACAGTAGAGCATCAATATATGAGGCTATGAGTACAGTAGAGCATCAATATATGAGGCTATGAGTACAGTAGAGCATCACTATGAGGCTATGAGTACAGTAGAGCATCACTATGAGGCTATGAGTACAGTAGAGCATCAATATATGAGGCTATGAGTACAGTAGAGCATCCATAAGGAAGAACTCTGCTAACAGTGGTGATATCTGAAGCAAGGCGAGTTTCCAGAGAGATAAAGGAGGCAAGATGGTTTGAGTGGTGTCAAACTCTAAATGAACATAGTAGTCTTGGCAAGATATGGGGTCAGATTAAAACCATATCAGGTCGACCAGCCCGACCACAGGCATGTATTCAACCATTGCAGGAGGCTGAGAGACTTGCTCTCCAATTTGCGGAGAGAACAGCTTCATATCAGCTTTCTGCAATGGTCAGAAGGCAGCAAGAACAATTAAAACAAGAGAGGTTGACAGCCATTCATTTGAGAGCATAGCTACAAATGACGAATGTGACTGTCCCTTCACCAAACAAGAACTAATTAGAGCCAAAAAAGGTGGTAAGGACACTGCACCAGGTGCTGATAACATTACATACTCAATGATCGCACACGTAGGTCCTGCTGGAGAACATGGGATATTGAGCGTTATCAATGCATCTTGGCAGAATCATTAATCTATATATATATATATATATATATATATATATATATATATATATATATATATATATATATATATATATATATATATATATTGTGGTAACTTAATATTCTTCCATTTCTAATGTTTTCCATTATTTTATCTCACTCCATTTTCACTACTTCTCACACTTTTCTTTCCTGTACCTTTTCGTATTTCTTCTCCCTCTCATTTAATCCACGAGAGGGAGAAGAAAATTTGCTTCATTTCTTTCCACACATTTCCTCTGACTCGTTCCCTTCTTCCTCCCTGTTCTTCTCTCTCCCATTTCTTCTCTTTTTTTTACTCCATCTCTATCTCCAGCAAATTATTTTCCAATTTTACCAATTTTTCCCATTTTACCAATACCAATTTTAATTTCCAATAGCTGATATTTGCGATTTCATAACCATGGTTTGTAACATTGTGTTCCCTCTAGAAGGGAATTTTGTGTGTGTTATTTTGATGTGCAGATTAATTGTGTGTGTGTGTGTGTGATCAGCAGAACCACTCCTTTTCCTCCTCTTCCCACCCTCTCTTTCCTTACTATATAGTGGTCCTGTGGAAACACTGCATTTGTTATGATGCCTGAGAGTTTTGTTTCTGTGAGTACTATTACATCAGGGTTTTCTTCTTGAGTCCTTTCTACAAGTTCACTCATTTTATTCACAACCCTATCGTGTTGTGTTCCTAACTCTTTCCTCTGGTCTCTCCATTCCTATGTCTTCCATCCCCCTGTACCTACTTCCTTCTCTTTGCCCGATTCTTTTATATCTCCCTCTACTTCAATTTTTTTTTCTCCCTCCCTCCCTCGCCTGTCTTGTTTGTGTCCACTTCGCAGCAGTTTCCCGTGTTTATCCATCCTCTTCCTCCCCTCTCAGTTCCCCTTCCTTCTTGGGATTTTTGTCTGTTCCTTTGCTTTAACCGCCCTCTTACTTCTCACATTCTTAATTCTCTCTTACTTTATTTTCTTACCTTAATTCTCTCTTTCTCTTTCTCCCTACCTCTTTTATGAACCCTCTATGTTGGCTCATTAATGTTTTCATTTCACATTTCCCAGATTTTTTTACACCTGAAATATTTCCTCACGTCTTCCCATGTTTGCAGATCATTTGGCGTTTTGTTCTTTCCTATTTCCTTTGTTTATCAGACTCTTTTTCTCATCTCGTGTTTTATATTTGCCTGACATTTCTAGATTACTATTCTTTTAACTGTCCCTTCATTAGTGTTATTTTAATTGTCGTCATTTTATCGCTGGGTTTTATTTCATTCGTTTATCTGCCGTGTTAACTGTGTATTGTTTCTCAGTTTGTTTCTGTTTTAATTTTTGTGTCTCCCCTCTCTTACTTTTATTTAAACTCTTTTTGTTGTCTGTTTAGTCGCACAGATAGACAGACAGTCTATCTACTGTATCTTCCCAAAAATCCCCCCTTAGAAAACCTCCCCAAACTCCCTTACTAGAACACATCTCCTAACTCCTCTCTTCAACCCGCTCTCGCACAAGACAGCACATAAAGGAATTATTGCTTATAGACACAATTTAGCTTATAAATAAGTACATTTGTGACATATTCCAAGCCATATTTTTTTCAAGGCACTAACTCTTCCTCTCAGTTTTATTAAACAATAGCGATTTTATACAAAATTTGACAATATCCTGAGTTACTTTACAATATATTTAAATATTTTAATTTTGTTTTATTATTTTTATAAAAATGTAATATCAATATAGGTATAGGTTCAGTACTAATTGGAATATCTTAACATACTAAGAAGGTTAGGTTAGGTCGGTGTTTTCTATTCAGCATTTCATGGTAAACTCAAAAATTCACAATAAATTAGTATGTCACATATGCATTTATTCATATGCCAAATATTGACTATAAGCAGGTGCAAGAACGGGTTGCTCTCTTAGAACAACTCTCCTCTTTAAATATCTGCCCAAATTGTATCTTTGAACGATTTTTTTTCTCCAATGAAACACCCACGTCAGCACACACACACACCAGGGCACCAAACTTGTAGACGGCAGCGATGTGGAGGCCGTAGGGGTCGGCGTCCGTCAAGGCCAACACCGGCACCCTCAACTCCCTCCAGAGGCGGTGCAGCAGCTGCCGCGTCGACACGTCAGGGTACCCCTTTCCCTGGACACACCAGAAAACAAATAAGTTAGTCACACAATCCATAAAATCAGCTTCAAGTGCTAATGTGACAGAATTCAAATAGCTTGAGGAACCTGCGTACACCGGACTTCAACTGCCGTAGGCTGCACGCAAGAGTTAAAGCTTCCCTTAGAAGCACTCACAAGAAGAGGGTTCTATGTCAGTGCTTCGTATTTCAAGACTAATCTTACGAATACTGAACGCAACCAATGTAAGGCTACTCGTAGGATATGCAGCACTAGCATGGAACCTAAAGCTTGCGAGACAAAAAAAAATCAGTGGTTCATAGATTGAATATGAGATTAATAACAGAAATTCCAAATTTAAATTTTGAGGATCAGGTAAGAAGAGCTCAAACTATAAACATAGGAGGAGAGAAGAACTAGAGGAGATATAATCATGACGTATAAGATATATTGAGAGGCCTAAAAATAAGATAGTCAGCGGTTCTCAATAGGGGGGTCCAGGGAAGAATTTAAAAGGATCCTTGGAACATGGTTGCAGGGGGTCCGACAAGTGAAACGAGGCTGAGGGGGTAACAGGTAAGACCGGAGTTGTACTACGGTCTCACATGTGCAAACATGGTTGAAAGGGGGGTCCACAGGTGCGAACGTGGTTGTAGGGGGTCCACAGGTGCTAACATAGTTGAAGGGGGGTCCACAGGTGCTAACATGGTTGAAGGGGGGTCCACAAGTGCGAACATGGTTGAAGGAGGGTCCACAGGTGCGAACGTGGTTAGAAAAGGGGGCAAGAGACATACAAAGCTTCGAAACCACTGCCTAAGAGCAAACTAAAGAATCAGATGAGCCTCGTGTACAGAAAGAAATACATATTCAGTGTGCGAGTAGCCAACACGTGGGACGAACTGGACAGAGAAGTGGTTTAGACAAAAATATAACCGAAGAATTCGAAGAGCTGTTCTACCTTTAATGTAAACAGTAAAAAGACAAACACACGCTCGCACGTATGTATGCATGAACATGCGCACACACACACACACACACACACACACACACACACACACACACACACACACACACACACACACACACACACACACACACACACACACACACACACACACACACACACACACACACACACACATTGTGTGTGTGAAGAAAAAGTGCTTAAATTGGAAGAGGACAATGGAGCTCTTAGGAGTGAGCTTTGCACTCTAAAAGGGAGTATTCTTCAACAAGATTATTACTGCATTAACGGACAAGGTAACAAATCAAGAGGAACAAATCAAGGAACTAATGAAAGAAAATGTGGTGTGGAAAGTGAAGTGTGGTGACTTTGAAGTAATAAACAAGAAAATAGACTCATATGGTGAACAACACCAAGGGAGTCTGAGGGCTAACATAGAGTTAGACAAGGATCTGCAATTGGAAACTTCAGTGACAACTCACGTAGAGGGGGGTTAATAAAGAACTAGAAAAGTATAAAGAAGAAATAAAAGAGACATATGCCCAAGTTGTAAAAGAGAAAGAGACGATTAAGGAAGTGTGTTTGGAAGTCAAAACCAGAAATGACAAACAAGAAGCGGATCTTAGACAAGCAATTAAATAAGAACTGGTAACCAACAGTAAACTGGTTCAAAACACTATAGATAAAAGTCCATAATAATTTTTGGATGTTTAGAGAAGGAAATTTCATCTAGGGTGGACCGAGCAGCAGAAGAGATGAAAATCATAGAAAAAATAGTAGGATTAGGAGAAGGCTTAAATTCAAAGGAGCATGTTAGTGATTTTAGGAGGATAGGAAAATATGAGAAAGACAAGAACCGCCCCGTAAGGGTGACGTTTAATGAAGTGAAGTATATGACAAGTGCTTCGGAATACCAGAAAATTGCAATGTGACGAGGATGGCAAACTTTGGTCAATAAGACAAGACCTCTCAAAAGAGGACAGAGTAAAGCCGAAAATGAACCTCATTGTAGCAAAACGTCTAAATGGGGATAGAAAAGAAGAAAGGAATTCTTTTTTCAACAAAGTGTCAGGGATTGGAAAGCTTGTGAAATGGTACATAAAGACAAAGCAACAAAATCATTAAATGAAGGGGGTGTAAACAACATAGGGAAAGGGAACATATTCATGAAAATAGTATATACCAACACAGATAGAGTGAGATCGAAAATATTGGAGTTGAAGGATATACTTCAGCTCGAAGTCCCAGATATTGTCCCATTAACAGAGACGAAACTTGAAGAAAATATTTTAAATGAGGTCGTATTCCCAAGGGGCTACTCAGTTTGGAGACTTGACAGGAAAACTGGGATGGGAGGGAGGAGTGGCTGTGCTGGTGAAAGAACACCTGAAGGTAAGAGAGTTAATATTTGAAAACCCTTGAGATATTGACATATTGGCATTGCAAGTCTGGAATAAGATGATAAGCTGATAATTTTAAATGCTTACAGCCCACCAGCAAGCAACACATGGACAAAGTGGACAAAGGAAGATCTGGATGACAAACGAGAGGGCCTCATAATGGTCATGAGAGAGATTATGGTAAAAGCTGACAAAGATAAATCCCGATTGCTGGTACTGGGGGACTTTAACTTTAAGGCAATAGACTGGGAGGCCTACGAGGCAAGAACTGGGGACATTTGTACAGGCAGATCTGAAAAACTCATCTTGGAGACATTCATGTATCAACACGTCAAGCAGGCCACAAGAATGAGGGAAGGGGATGTTCCGTCAATACTGGATCTAGTATTCACCAGGAAAGAAGAAGAGGTATTTGACATCCAGTACCTTTCTCCCTTAGGAAAGAGTGATCACGTCCTCTTGGACATTAAATACGCTATGCGATATACTCTAATACAGTAGAGAATGGGGACAGTAAAACAGTTGTTAAACTCGATTTCAAGAGAGGACGCTATGGGGGAACTAAGAAATTTTTTTTCATGGGTATAATTGGACAGACTTGTTGCTAGGCAAGGAAGTAAATGAGATGTATGCCAAAATTTGCGAAATATACGATGAAGGCACACAAACATTCATACCAAACCAGACATGGAGACCTAGGAAACAGGGCTGGTTCAACAGAAATTGCGAGAGGGCCAGAGATCAAGACACAAGCATAGAATCATTATAGAAAGAGGTCAAACCCCCAAACATACCAACGATACAAAGATGCAAGAAACAACTACACGTCAGTAAGGAGAGAGGCAGAGAGGAACTTTGAGAACGGTATAGCAGACAAATGTAAATCAGATCCAGGCCTTTTCTATAAATTCATTAAAAGCAAGCTGCAGGTAAAGGATAATATTCAGAGGTTGAAAATGGGGGACAGATACACGGAAAATGAAAAGGAAATGTGTGAAACATTAAACGAAAAGTTCCAAAGTGTGTTTGTACAAAATGAGATCTTCAGAGAACCAGACACAATAAGAATTCCAGAGAACAGCATAGAGCACATAGAGGTGTCTAGAGACGAAGTGAAACAAATGCTCTTGGAGCTAAGTAAGAACAAAGCAGTTGGCCCAGATGGAGTTTCACCATGGGTTCTGAGAGAATGTGCACCTGAGCTCAGCATTCCACTTCAGCTGATTTTTCAGACATCCCTGGTGTACAGAAGTCGTAGCAGATGTGTGGAAAAAGGCTAACATAGTTCCAATCTATAAAAGTGGCAGCAGGGAAGACCCCCTCAATTATAGACCTGTATCATTGACAAATGTAATAGTCAGAACATTGGAACAAATAATAAAAACTGAATTGGTAGAACACCTGGAGAGAAATGATATAATATCAGACAGGCAGTATGGTTTTTGATTTGGAAGATCCTGTGTATCGAATTTACTCAGTTTCTATTATCGAACCACAGAGATTTTACAGGAAAGAGATGGTTGGGTTGACTGCATCTATCTGGACCTAAAAATGGCTTTCGACAGAGTTCCACATAAGAGGTTGTTCTGGAAACTGAAAAATATTGAAGGGGTGACAGGTAAGCTTCTAACATGGATGAAAAATTTTCTAACTGATAGAAAAATGAGGGCAGTAATCAGAGGCAATGTATCGGACTGGAGAAATGTCACAAGTGGAGCACAACAGGGTTCAGTTCTTGCACCGGTGATGTTCAGTATCTACATAAATGATCTACCAGATGAAATACAGAATATATGAACATATTTGCTGATGATGCTAAGATAATAGGAAGGATAAGAAACTTAGATGATTGTCATGCCCTTCAAGAAGACCTGGACAAAAATAAGAATATGAAGCACCACTTGGCAAATGGAAGTTAATGTGAATAAATGCCATGTTATAAAATGTGGAATAGGAAAACATAGACCACACAACCTATAAATTATGTGAGAAATCCTTAAAGAATTCTGACAAAGAAAGAGATCTAGGGGTGGTTCTAGATAGAAAACTATTACCTGAGGACCACATAAAGAACGTTGTGCGAGGAGCCTATGCCACGCTTTCTAACTTCAGAATTGCTTTTAAATACATGGATGGCGAAATACTAAAGAAAATGTTCACAACTTTTGTTAGGCCAAAGCTAGAATATGCAGCGGTTGTGTGGTTTAATGAGCTCCGAAGCACCAGGAGGTTGTTTATAACAATAACAATAGTTGATTGGAAAGTTTTCATGCTTGCAAACTGTTTAATAAATGTAACCAAAGCCTTCAAAGATTGAGGAAAGATGTACACGTTCGTAAGTACTTGCGTAACTGCTTCGTGAATCTGGGTCCAGGCTACTGACCGTAAGGAGTATGGCAGGTCCGAAGGTGCGGTGGACCTGGGCCTCGACCAGCCTCTGGAAAGTGGCGTCCTTCTCCACAACGAGGATGTAGCGGGCCTGCGACACCACCCTCGTCAGGCCCTCCACGCTCTCCGGCACCAGCATCCCTGCCACGCCCACGAGGCCAAAACAAAACAAGTTATAGTAAGCCATTAACGTGTAATTAGTAAATATTAAGACGAAGCCCGTTCTCTCGATTTGCCGCTCCTTGATATATATGCAAGGGTTTTGCCTAACCAGAAACGCACGATCCCGAGCAACCCACCTAACCTATCGAGGCAGATTCATGGAAAACGTCAATATGACGGTACTTTAACTGTTATTAATACGTCTCATTTTGAACTGTTTGGCTTGCGACACAAGAATTTATACATAGCAAAAATTTACAAAACATATTTTATCATGTCCAAAGGATTCCTATATGTCTCATTATATCCAAAAGTTTCTTAATATATTTCCACATATCGAAAAATTACAACAAATATATTATAGACTACTAGTGTGATGACTCAGCCCCGAAATAATTGACTCATAAAGCCATTATTTGTTTAGTACTGAATTTAAATACAAAAATCCTACCAATTATAATGTAATAAATTTGTGTAAAAAGGTGTATTTACAGGTGTATGCACTTACATTTCGATGCACTTAATCTATTGAGCGCACAAGTAGCACGAAAAGGTGTAAACGACGTTGATACATCATAGTACAACTGAAAGCCATCCTGCTGCCAGATGACTTACATAAAGACATACCTGTTAATGCAGGCGACGAGTCACAATAACGTGGCAAAAGTATGTTGACCAGACCACACACTAGAAGGTGAAGGGACGACGACGTTTCGGTCCGTCCTGAACCATTCTCAAGTCGATTGTGTCTATCGTTTATGTTTATCGATTCTCACAATCGACTTGAGAATGGTCCAGGACGGACCGAAACGTCGTCGTCCCTTCACCTTCGAGTGTGTGGTCTGGTCAACATACCTGTTAATGCGTTGGCAATCCCTTGCTGCAACACATTAATGCTACATGCCACTCATCACACGATACGTGCGATGAGTCTTTAGGTATTTAGTAAGGTAATGTGTATAATAACTCGCCATTCATAACCATATCTATAAAGGACAGAAGACAATTTATATATGTTGCTTAGTGTATAAATGAATAGCCGCGTCTGTGGTAGAAATTAAGCTAAACAAATATATAATAAAAAAGTGACATTGATGTATTCTCCGTGATATTCTTTTTACCATCCAGTAAAATGTGCGCAAGTACACCCACGACCACCATCTCCAGTGACGGCCAGTAACCTGCTCCCATCATATGGTTAATGTTGCCATCCAGTTATGCCTAGTCCCAAAGGGGACGTATTATCCAGTGACGTCCAGTAACTTCTGTACCTTAATAATGCGACGCAATATCCAATGACGTCTAGTAATGTCTGCCCCCACCCTTACTGGTAACGCTATGCACCATGCAGGAACAAATGCAAAGCCCTCCCTCCCTCCAGTAACGCGTCACACCATAAAAATCGTCTAGTAACGCTCCCTTTCCCGCTGTAACGCGACCCACACACTCTCCACCCATCGTCTAGCCAGTAATGCCTTTACGTCCCTTCCATAATACGACATGCCTACCCCTGTATCGCAAGATACCATCCTGTGATACAAAGAAACTATCCCGTCTCCACTCGCCTGGCAACTGGACGTGTCCCTTCCATAATACGACATGAATACCCCCTGTATCGCAATATACCATCCTGTGATACAAAGAGTCTCCACCCCGTCTCCACTCGCCTGGTAACTGGACGTACCGTTCTGAGTGTGGCTGACGCAGACGATGGTGCCGTCGTGGGTGGTGTAGGTGAGGTCGCCAGCGACAAGACCCTTGCCCGTGATGGTGAGATGAAGCCCCCGCCGTGGAACACCCAACACCCGCGTCAGGTCTTCTGCTGAACGGTCCAGCGCGGCCTGCGACTGGTACAGCCACACAGACTCATAGTACACATCCCTGCAAAAAAGATGAGATTGACCTGTGATAAAAAAATTTACACAGGGAAAGTTTACAAAACATGTTTTACCATGTTTATAAGTTTCCAAAATATGTCTCAAGTGTGTTTAAAAGTTTCCTTATATATTTCCTATATCAAAAAATTTCGTCAAATTTATATCCTAAGACTGCCACTATAGTGACCAAGACCAGAAATAATTGCGCCCTCGAAGTACCATATTTACTTGCCTTAGACATATACAATTCTGCATGGAAAATTAATTTAATTATTCTACAAAACCAAGTATACCCTAAACTAAAAAAAAACATTAAAAAAATACATGCCCCTAGTAGTTATGATACGAGAGGGCAGGAGCACGACTCTCACAAGGGTAGAATAATGGCAGCCAGGCTAGTGTCCGTGTAACAGTACATGTTTCGTACAAATGTGAAGGGTTAGGTACAGGAAGATGATACATCATGTTACAGTCTTGGCAACAGGATAGCACATGTATCAAGGAGTAACTCGTGTGTCACGTCAGTGAGGTATTAAACCCTTACACAAGCTAAAAATATATATTTAATCCAGTCAGAATAAATATTTTTGGGTGCATACCTAACCCTAGGTGTAGATTAAATTAAAGCATTATCATATAACATCTCAAGAAAAGAACAAGGATTACGGACAATACGCAGTTAAGCTGAAGAGAGCTATACAACCTTCTGTAAAGACCCGGCTGTAAGATTAAAAACTGTTGAGTACAATGCCGGAGACGAGTTCCGTAATCCGGTAACAGATTAAAAGCTTTGTGAATAACAGTACGCAGCTTCCAGGAGGAAACTACTATGTATTCCGGTTGCAGAAGAGATTCAAATTGCAGGAAAAATTGGATTACTGCGCGTCAAAGCCAACATGCAGACACTGGGGGTAGTCTACTACTATTATTTAGTAACAGCATTTAACACGCCAGCCTCTGCCAGCTCAGATTCCTCTCTCTGTTTTTTGTTCTCTACGTTTTACCATTTCCTACTTTTTTTTTAGGTTTCTTCCTGTCTACCTGTATATATATGTGTGTGTGTGTGTATGATCCACGAGAATAATCTAAACTAAACTTTCCCCCTTTCTTCTTCCTCTCTTCCTCTCCTCTCTTCTCTTTCTCCTAGTATGATTCCCGGCAACGAAATGGACTACATTCCTTCCTTCTCTCCCATCTCATTCATATGCAACGTTAAACATACTCACTATCATTCAAACACTCATTCACATACATGTTCACTCACTACTAAACACACTCAAAACACTCACATTTTCACCCACTCTCACATGAGCAGACATTCTCAGTCCCGCTCACATTTACAATTTCACACACTTTCTCAACTCCCTCCCCCCCTTTACCCCTACAAAGGAACTTCATAAATTAAAACTTCTAATCAAACCCAGTCGTAAAGGACCAATGCAGACGAAACAAAGAAATAACTTTCTTCACTGAGACATTGTAAGAGAACGAAAAGACAAATGGAAACTGGAACTCCCGCAAACAATCACATCAATCAAGGCTGTATTGATAGGCGCACAGAACCCAAAATTAAAGAGCTCGTGCATTGAATGGCGCGAGTCTAGAATGGGTGTGTACCCGCACAGCTGAGGTTGGTGTGGTTCAACCGATAGACGGTAACGCTCATGTTGCCCTTCTTCCAAGTATTTATATAGTCTAGTCATTATGGCTCTTGTTGCGCCTAATCTAACCTAAATTACGGGCTCACCATAGCCCGTGCTACATGGACACTTCATTCTGAGTAGCTAAATCTGAAACAACAACAAACTCATGTTGCCATGCAGTGCGTTCCGGCCTTCTGAGCTGTGTACACCTCTCAAGGTGTATACATTACGTGCCGCAAAATACATTCATCAGGTATTTATATTTGTATTAATCAACCCGTCTCCAAACCAAGTCTATTCTATCCCAGCCCGTTCTCCAAACAAAGACCCAAAAGTGATTCCATGCACCCGCCAAACCCCCTGCTAATGAATGAAATAGTTTACACACGACTCACAACTGATTTCGTTCGAACACTTCCGTAACAAGTGCTTATAAAATTTGCACATCTTTCCTCAACCAACTCATCCTCGACTCAAGTCCATTACATCCAGAGATCGACCCCCACAGACGCATTCATAAATTTTAATATGTTGTTCATTCAAAACGGGAATTTATTCATATATAAATTAATATTATAATATATTAGCATATTGAGCATATATCTATAGCCATAGATTAGGTTAGGTGTTTAGGTTCTGTTCGCGATTATTTGTATTTGTAGTACGTGGATTAAGCATTTACAGCGTTGTGGTTCGAACAAAAGTCGTCAGTGAAGCACTTGTTACGGAAGTGTTGGAACGAAATCAGTTGGGAGTCGTGTGTAAACTATTTCATTCATTAACAGGGGGTTTGGCGGGTGCATGGAATTACTTTTGGGTCTTTGTTTGGAGGACGGGCTGGGATAGAATAGACTTGGTCTGGAGACGGGTTGATTAAACAGTACACGAGCTTCGAAACTTCACAACTAAACCTTATCTCGTAGTGCTTCGGGGCTCAAAAAATATAAACAAAGCCGCTGTGATTCAGGAACAGCCCGTCCTCCAAACATAGACCCAAATGTGATTCCATGCACCCGCCAAACCCCCTGTTTATGAATGAAATACACGACTCACAACTGATTTCGTTTGAACACTTCCGGAACAAGTGCCTTCACTGACGAATTTTGTTCGAACCACAACGCTGTAAATGCTTTACCCACGTACTACAAATACATATAATCCCCAACAGAAACTAAACACCTAACCTAACCTAAGTGGATCATAAGTGAATGTGTAAATGCTTGATGAATTCTGGCCTCTAGAATTTTAGACGAGACATTGGACCACCGAGCTAAGGCTTCAGGCGTGTTTAAAACTAAAGTTTCATGATTTATGTGCGTCTCCACGAAGACTTAACGGAGACATATCTCCTCTAACAGACGAAACGTCTAAACAATAATTGCTGTCACAAGACTTAACTTACTTTTTTTCTTTAGTTACAAGCGGTATCAGGACATGTCTCCCTTGTTACAACATGCGCGTATTATTTATCTATGATTTTCCAGGTTTTTTGTGCGTAACAGGATAGACTAGAATTCGTTTTGGTTAAGCCAATGTTAGGTTAGTTTCAGTTAGCATATAATAGATTATTATATTTTTTTTTTGGTTTAACGGCTTCAGTATTGTGATATTTATATGCCAGCCCATTAGGCACATCACATTTTGAATGTTTCAATACTCATGTATTCAAAAAGTACAGTATGCCATGGTTCAATCAAGGTGAGGGTACATTTACACATGTTAATGTTAAGAGTGTTTGTAGTGATTGTTGCATTCTTATTAACGAATACCTGTTTTAACCTGGTTTCCTTTGGCACCCTCAGCAGCTAACACATTTGCTCGTTCCTCAACTTCCAATGAGTTGGAATCCACAGGACCTTGATCATCCTTCCTGTTTCATTATCTTTTTCACACTTTGTGATTTTAATTATTTCATCTAATTTCACGTCCTCTATATTCTGCATATTTTTGTTCTTAGCAGTGCGGCTCAGTGATCACTGCTTCCCTATGCTGCCTTCTTGATGCCGTATCAATAGAAGTGAGCTCTGTTCACTTTGGGCATGCGTGATTCTCGATCTGTTCTTTTTCATTTTTAATTTGAAAGGTATTGTACCAGCCTTCAAATTAGTGGTGGTGGAGAGTGATGGCAGTGAAGAGTTATGGGGGAAGAGTTGTGGGGAAGAGTTGTGGGGAGTAGAGTTGTGGGGAAGAGTTGTGGGGAGAAGAGTTGTGGGGAGAAGAGTTATGGCGAGTAGAGTTGTGGGGGGGGGGGGGAAGAGAATCGTGCTGGTGCTTTACCTTTCCCTCTCCCCTGTCATACGTCTGCCAGCACCATCTACTCCCCTGAGCCTGCTGCCTCACCTCCTGGTAGCGTAGGTGCCGCTGGCCACGTGACGATAGGCCTGGGCGAGCGTGTGGATGAGGTGGGTGAAGCGTCGGGTGCTCCGAGAGGCTCCCAGGCTCACCAGACTCTCACCTCCGGTTCCGCTCCCACCCCTGTGGAGAGAAAACAGTATTGTAAGAAATGATACTGTAGAAAATTATACCGTTCCTCAGCGGATAGGCTATAAGAACTCAAGAACAAAGGTAACTGCAGAAGGCCTATTGGTTCATACGAGGTAGCTCCTATCTATAACCAACCAATCCCACTCATATACATGTCCAACCCGCGCTTGAAACAATCAAGGGACCCCACCTCCACCACGTTACGCGGTAATTGGTTCCACAAATCAACAACCCTGTTACCGAACCAGTATTTACCCTATCTTGAAATGATTTCGGGGCTTAGCGTCCCCGCGGTCCGGTCCTCGTCCAGGCCTCCTTTTTGTTACACACCCCTAGGAAGTAGTCCGTAGCAGCTATCTAACTCCCAGGTACCTATTAACTGCTAGGTAACAGGGGTATCAGGGTGAAAGAAACTCTGCCCATTTGTTTCCGCCTACGCCGGGGATCGAACCCGGAACCTCAGGACTACGAATCCGAAGCGCTGTCCACTCAGCTGTCAGGCCCCGAACACTTCCGGAACAAGTGCTTCACTGACGACTTTTGTTCGAACCACAACGCTGTAAATGCTTCACCCACGTACTACAAATACAAATAATCGCCAACAGAACCTAAACACCTAATCTAACCGGTGGCTAAATATACACAATACGCTAATATGAAATAATATTAATTTATATTTGAGAAAATTCCTATTTTGAATGAACAGCATGGTAAAATTGATGAATGCGTCTTTGGAGTTGACCGCTGGATGGAATGGACTTAGTCTGAGGACGGGTTGCTATAAATTCTTCAACCACGTACTTCAAATACAACTAATCGCCAACAGACCCCTAAACACCTAACCTAACCTACGCCTAACAATACTTAGAATTTATATGTATAATAATATTAATTTATATATCAGAACAAACCAATTTTTAATACACAGTATACTAAAATTGATGAATGCGTCTGGGGAGGACGGCCGCTGCTCTCAACAGCCTAGTGTGAGGACGGTTGGAGGACGGGTTGACCGGTGTTGCGTCTGGTGGCTTGAACAGAATCACCGAGTTGTATCGGGATTCCTCTATCGACGAAATGCATAGCCCTGTGTTTCTCCCACACACAGCTCACACCCTGCTTTGTTCCCTCCCCAGGCGTGTATCCAGTCTACATTGTTTGGTGTGGATCTATGTTTCAAACCAATAGTGTCACTGTTTCGTAAACCAAGCGCCAACAAGTATGGCGCTAATCCTCCCGTTTCGTGCAGGAGTGCGCTTAGTGGAGGTTACTGCATTTTCAAAGAACAAGGAGGAGCAGCACAGACAGATTAGGGAGGTCTCTGGTGCCGTTCCCAAGCGGATATGCAGTTAAATTCTGTACTCATCGGCAGCCCACGGCGTTGTGATAGAAGGGGAATGACGAAACAGGAGGCAAGTGAGCTCGTTTTGTTCTTAGTGTCCAATCGGTTGCTATCCGGTTTCTCTACTGACGCCTTGTTAGTAGGGCGTTTTTTTCGATTACATTCATTTCACAGTCTCCGTGGTGTAGTGGTAAGACACTCGCCTGGCGTTCCGCGAGCGCTATGTCATGGGTTCGTATCCTGGCCGGGGAGGATTTACTGGGCGCAATTCCTTAACTGTAGCCTCTGTTTAACGCAACAGTAAAATGTGTACTTGGATGACAAAACGAGTCTTCGCGGCAGGGGATCGTATTCCAGGGACCTGCCCGAAACGCTACGCGTACTAGTGGCTGTACAAGAATGTAACAACTCTTGTATATATCTCAAAAAAAAAAAAAAAAAATCTTAAAATAGAACCCCGAGTCACAAAAGTTACGAATATACAAATTCCCAGTCTATCATTGTCATCTCTGTATAACATCCAACTAATATTATTGGATGTTACACAGCGTTCCTGGGGTTTGGAAGTTCATTACTTCTTATGAAAAATTCCCATTAGGTTTCATGCATTGTTGACAAAACTCTTTATTTCCTCAAAGTTCCTCCTGTGTAAGGGGGAACAGGATGTAAGTGTATTTACCATTTACTATTTGTGCCTGCTGGATCGAGCTGCAAACTCTTGGAGCACGCCTTTTAACAGTTGGTTTTATTATGTTCCGACTTAATACTTTTCTATCATATTTACTACATATCATTTTTCAAACATATACATACGTGTGTGTGTGTATGGATAGTACTAGGGTACTCACCTAGTTGTGTTTGCGGGGGTTGAGCTGTAGGTCTGTGGTCCCGCCTCTCAACTGTTAATCAACTGGTGGTATATAGATTCCCGAGCCTATTGGTATCTATCAAATCTTCATTTGAAACTGTGGATAGTTTTCTTTTTCAACAACAGACGTTGCCAGACATTTACAATGCTAACCAGCATATATACATTTTCTTCTGTCCGCCATGGACAGGGTGAGAGATCTGTTAAACATGGAGTTCAGGAATTTATTGAATAATCAACCACAGAAGGTGATTGTGAGTGCTTTTAAAATGATAATCAAAACTACAGACATAGATACACAGACTTACGTCTGCCCTACATAAAGTGGTTGATGTGTTCTTTAGTGTCATTAATGTGCATTTACAAAGGTGAAATGTAATTCTGATCAGCTTCAACATATATTTTATACACATACATACATATACATGTATACATACATACTCATACATTTGTTCTTCTACTCTGACAGGGTAAGATAGCTGATAGAGAAACTAGTGTGTTATTAAGCACGTAACAACTGAAGGTGATTAAGGTGCTTTTACAAGCTCAGGTTATATAGTTACATCCCATACATACATACATATATACATTGTATAAGTGATACATTACATGGTCAATCTTGGGTACAGGATTGATCAATATATCAAGTGTTCCAGTATTCATATAGTAGTTACAGAGTTCAGCATACCTCAGCCCAGGAGGGCGAAAGTCAGTCAATAGGGGACATTCTACAATATAATGTTCAAGTGAGTGCATGTTTTCTCTTTCACAAAGTTGACACATTGAGTACTCGACATTTGGGTTTTGAGAAAGCTGTATGGAGTCTGCCTCAACCTCATCACTGCTTAATGCATTCCATTACTTAATTACATTCCATCTGTTAACTAATCTGGCACTGAAAAAATTCTTTCTGTCTCTAGAGTGCGTACTCACCTATTTGTGCCTGCAGGATCGAGCATTGACTCATGGATCCCGCCTTACTAGCCATCAGTTGTTTACAGCAATGACTCCTGTCCCATTTCCCTATCATATCTAGTTTTAAAATTATGAATAGAGTTTGCTTCCACAACCTGCTCCTTAAATGCATTCCATTTTTCCACTAATCTCACGCTAAATGAAAACTTCCTAACATCTATGTGATTCATCTGAGTTTCCAGCTTCCACTCATGCCCCCTCGTTCTGATAATATTACGAGTGAACATTTCATCTATTTCCACTTTGTCATTTCCCCTGTGTATTTTATACGTTCCTATCATATCCCCTCCCCCTCTCCCTTCTTTTTTCTAGTGTCGTAAGGTTCGGTTCATTCAGGCGCTTTTCATATCCCATCCCTCGTAGTTCTAAGACGAGCCTCGCCGCATATTTTCGAACCTTTTCCAGTTTCCTTGTGTGTTTCTTCAGGTGGGGGCTCCATGATGGCGCGGCATACTCTAAGACTGGTCTCACGTAGGCAGCATAAAGCGCCTTAAAAGTCTTCTCACTTAGGTTTCTGAATGATGTTCTAACTTTTGCCAGTGTAGAGTACGCTGCTGTCGTTATCCTGTGTGTGTGTGTGTGTGTGTGTGTGTGTGTGTGTGTGTGTGTGTGTGTGTGTGTGTGTGTGTGTGTGTGTGTGAGAGAGAGGGTATATAGGAGTGGGTGTGGGAGATTATCTGCGGATATCGTAAAACAAGATATATAATTAGGCTGGTGTGAGTAAAGCGTCCATTAGCGTCTTGACGAAGCCAATGAGTGAGATATTACCTTACGCAGGCAACAACCACCCACTCTTTCTCCTTCTCTTTTCTACTTTTCTTTTAATTTTCCTCTTTTCTCTCTCTCACACACACACACACACAGGGGCCTGTGGCTGAGTGGTCAGCGCCCGGGGTTCGTAGTCCTAGGGACCGGGGATCGATCCCCGACGATGGCGGAAACAAATGGACAGTTTCTTTCACCTTGATATCCATTCATCTAGCAGTAAATAGGTACTTGGGAGTTAGACAGCTACTAAGGGCTGCTTCCTGTGTGTGTGTTTGTGTGTGAAAAAAGTTGATTGACAGTTGAGAGGCGGGCCGAAAAAGCCAGAGCTCAACCCCCGCAAGCATAACTAGGTGAACACACACACACACGCACACCTATGTCAGACTAATCCTGGAATATGCAGCTCCAGCCTGGAGTCCATACCTAGTTAAACACACACAAGTTAGAGAAGATTCAGAGGTATGCCACCAGACTTGTCCCTAAACTGAGAGGTATGAGCTACGAGGAAAGGCTAAGGTAGTGTTTTTTTTTTTGCAGGGATATTCCTGCGCGGGCCCTAAGCCTCTGGCTGGCCCACGTAAGTGTTACTTGCTTCTGTTTTACTTAGGAGTAATATGAGTATTTATGACTCGTATGGTCGCTCCAGTAGAATTTTGCCCTAAGTGTTTAACAACTTTTTCTGCTCTGTTAAATCTAAGTTGAAATCTTATTGGGTTTGTAACTATGGACTGTTTGGACTGTGTTAGATAATGATCCAGTGGTCTGTTGGGCTAAGGGAGTTGAACCTCACATCCCTGGAAAACAGAAGAGTAAGGGGAGACATGATAACCACCTGCACAATTCTCAGGGGAATTGACAGAGTGGACAAAGACAAACTCTTTAGCACGGGTGAAACACGAACAAAGGGACAAGGTGACACAGGTGGAAACTTAGTACCCAAATGAGGCACAGAGACATTAGAAAGATTTTTTTAAGTGTCAGAGTAGTTAACAAACGGAATGCATTAAGCAGTAATGTGGTGGAGGCTGACTCCATACACAGTTTCAAATGTAGATATGATAGAGCCCAGTAGGCTCAGGAATCTGTACACGAGTTTGTAACGGGAACGGGGTAATATCTCTGCTTCGTCCACTACCCAGCCCTTAGTTAACTAATCTCAAAGACCCCAGAGCTCTACTATTAGCCTTCAGTCCACTCCTCGTGATCTTAGATGGTTGATTGTCTTAGATACTACAAATACGAGGACGCTGTGCTGGGCCCTTAGCAAACTCAAGGATCTTCTCAGCTGCCACCACCTGAATCCGCTTACTTGTTTAGTCCCCCTAACTGACAGTGAAACAGGAAACTGTCAATTATATATAATTCTCCAAATATGTATCCCAATTAATTAAAAAGGGAGGTATGAATTTACGTTAAGTGTTGAAATAAATCGAAAACAAGGGGATATATCCGATATTAAATATACTAGGCTTGCTTGGAATATATATACCGACTCGCCCCAATAAACCCGGCTCGTGGATTCCGCTTCAAAGACAATCATATATTCTGATAGGTGAACTCTAAACACAGAGCCAACAATAGAACACAAGTTTATTAAATCAAGATTAATCAAATAAATATACAAAGAAAACCACTCCTTATCTTTAACACCCCCTAAACTGAATATATTCCTATTGAAATATTTCTTATGAGGCAATGAATGAATGAATCAACTGTACAGTATTAAATTCCTTAAGCACGTTACCGTAATATTCTAGAACCCAGCCTGATGTTTGTCTCCCAGTTGCCCACTCCACACTAAAACTTAACCCGCTCTCTCAAGCTGAGACTGAAGCTAGCTAGAATTACTCCGCCAGCCTCTCTGACTGCTAAATTACTAAGCAGGGTAAACAAATCCACAAGGGCCGTGACGAGGATTCGAACCTGCGTCCGGGAGCATCCCAGACACTGCCTTAATCGACTGAGCTACGACAGGATAAAAGGGTTGAAACCGAAGTTCTACTGAACTTACTGGATCCCGTAGCCTCTCCGAGGCACAAACCAGGCTTTTACACCCCCCCCCCCTGTTCCCGAGCTATGTCAACAGGCCGTTCTCCCTCTTCGCCCTTACATCATCACACACAGAGATCACACTAACGTGATGCATCAAATGAACAAATCCACAAGGGCCGTGACGAGGATTCGAACCTGCGTCCGGGAGCATCCCAGACGTTATTGTGATCTCTGTGTGTACTAAGCAGGGTAAAATGAACAAACTAATCTTATTTCCCGGCCACCCAGATGGTTGAATTCTTACTGGAACTGATGGTAATTCTTTAGACATCTTGGACCAGGCTATTTCTAATTACAATATTGAATAGTGACCTGAATTTATAATTTATGAATTAACAATACGGAAGATTTTGGTCACCCTCCGGTCACGTGACCTTGACCCAGGGTGAGTCATAGTCATGACGAACTAGTCCCTCTCTAATTGACGTCACTGTCTCTTTAATAGCAAACGAGCCTTGATCTTTCCTCTATATTCATGTTAACCTAACCTAAGTCCTGAAACCAGAATTGGTTCTTACTGCAATTACTGTATTTATTGAGTTATTCATCACTGTTGAATTAATACAGGGGAAACAGTTAATACAGGGGAAACAGCCATTTTGTTTTCTAACCTCGCTAATCCCTTAATCTCTGGGGAGATGACTTTTCCGCTCTTAAACAGGTCAGACTACCCTCTCACTCCAAGCTTGTGTAAAACCATATGACCTATAACTTCTAAAACAAGCTTAGCTTGTTAAAAGGTGATTGACGATTGAGAGGCGGGACCAAAGAGCCAAAGCTCAACCCCCGCAAGCATAACTAGGTGAGTACAACTAGGTGAATACACACATTGTTTTTAATCACTAGCTTAGAATGGCGGAGCTTAGGAGCTGACGCTCGACACCTACAAGCGCATCAAGGAGAGCCCCTCTAGGTGAGTTGCCACCACATTCCTTCACGGTCAAGTGGAGTATATTAACAGGAAACATCAAACAGGCAGCCTCATCAACTGAATGGTCATGTTCCAAATGTTACTTTAATATTTTATTATAGTTTTAATATTTTACTAGAGTTAAGATATATTTAATGCATATTAGATTTTGTTAAAGCATTGCCTTAGACATGGAAAAAATATGAATATATAGTATAAAAATATATTGCTAGAGATGCATAAACTAATTTTTTTAGTTAAATACACCTGATACTCGATTTGGGTTTGCATATGCATTAAAATGAAAGAGGGGAGAAAGGGCGTGGAAGGAGAGGAGGAGGAGGAGGGAAAGGAGGACCAGCAGAAGGAAGAGGAAGACGAGGGGAATGAGAACGAGGGGAACGAGGAGATCTGCCTGACGTCACGGGTCACGTTGTGTCAACAGAAATAACAGTTCCTGGTCTATTGACATGGTTACCCTGTCAACACTGGCCGTGTCTTCACCCCATCCACTCACCCGTCCAAACCAACCTACCCACTTCCTTCCCTACCAACCTACCTACCATCCACCCTAACTATTTACCATCTCTAACTACACCCTAACTACCATACCATCTACCCTCCCACCCACAAAACCCATCTATCTACCCCACCTACTTATCTACTTACCTACTATTCTACCACCCTACCTAGTTATGCTGGGGTGAAAACGAAACTGCAATTGAGTTATATATACAGCTTCCCGGTTGTGAGTAACGAATTGTATTGGTGATTTAGCCCGTCCTCATAAACATAGCAGCCTGTCCACATAACAGCCTGTCATCGTCGAAAGGCAAATGCTCGTTAATCCGGTCGCTGAGCCCCCTGTTTATGAATGAAAAACGAGTTCCATGCGACTAACAACTGATGACGTTCGAACACTTCTGGAACAGTGCTTTGCTGACGCCCTGTTCCAATCGTATCCCTGTATATACTTCACCCAAAAATTTAAAATGCAAATAATTTCCAACAGAATCTAAACACCCAACCTAACATCTGCCTAAATATACATCTAATGTATAATATCTAAATCTAATACATAATCATATCTATTTATACATGAGAACAAACTTTTTCAATACACAATACTTTAAAATTTACGAATGCATCTAGGAGGTGGGGGGGGAGGGGTTAGCCACCAATTTAACGAGCCTAGCCTGTGGCCAAATTACAATAAACGTTTCACCTGCATATTGCGAATACAAATAATTGCTAACAGAACAAACAAAAATACCAAACCCACTCTCTCCTAGGCCAAATTATAGCCAAAAATGCTTACAATTATACTTACACACACACACATATATATATATATATATATATATATATATATATATATATATATATATATATATATATATATATATATATATATATATATATATATAATATATAATACTGTTTTTCTTGAGAAAGCACATAAAAAAATGCTGCTTGGACGAGCACAGCCTGAAGATGAGATATGAGATTAAGATACTGTATAGAGTTTGATAACTATGGTGATGTGATACATTGGCGTGACCTACCTGCAGGGGTGGGCGTGACCTACCTGCAGGGGTGGGCGTGACCTACCTGCGGGGATGGGCGTGACCTACCTGCGGGGGTGGGCGTGACCTACCTGCGGGGTGGGCGTGGCACTCTCAGCACCGGGGGCTCGCCAACACTGATGCTGGCCACCACGTCCTCCACTATACGCTCACACGCCGCCAGCATTTCTCTGCAGGACATAACAAAAAAACGATGCTACAACCTTCCAAACATGAACGATTAGCGTATAACGCGCGTCAATATTAAATAGGTCCACTTGAACGGTATGAATCAGGCGATGCGCTACATAATTATCGATCATCTGTTGAATAAATTTAGTAATTCACTTTGTGTAATTTAATTGTAATGTAAAACATAATTTAATCAATTATGTGTGTGCGTGAATTTTATTAATGGAACATTTTTTTGGACGCGAGAGAGAGTGTAGGTATTGGACCACCTCAACTCTGAATCGCATGTTTTATGTTATATCTCTCGCTTCTCTCCATCTGTCTTAGTTATGTCTCATTGTCTCTTTGTTTCTTTGTCCGTGTATGTGTCTGTCTCTCGGTGTCACTCTCTGTTTATCTCTCTCCCCTACTACCGTCTCCCTCCCTCTCCTCTCCTCTCCCCTTACCTTTCCATCTCATTTACCTACGCTACATCCTTCCCCCACTTCCCTCCCTCCGAGCCAGGACAAAAATATTCCCTATTTTGTGTTCATCGGAGCTGGGTGCTGATGAGGATAGCGACAGAACAAGGGGAGGGAGGATGTGATACAGGACATACGATAGAAGGGTAAAAAAACAAAACAAAAATGGTAGGAGGGATCAGAAAGGGAGAATATGAGGCTATGGTCACAGGAAGGGAGGAAGGGGCTTAGCGGGAGGAACTCTGGAGGGAGGGTAAATGTTTAGTCTGTTTTGTGAAAGTCTTAGTGAATAGTGTGGATGGTTATTCATGTAGATTAATGGACGGATGAGCATTTTAAAAAGGATGGCTGGATTCATGCATTCATATATCTCCCCCTCCACATAAACACCCTCCCCATCTCTACCCACACACATCCTCTTCATGCCCCCCCACGCACCTCCCCTGTCTTCCCCATCACTGAAACTACACACCACCTCCTTCGTTATAACTAAAAGGTTGCTCAGGGAATGCAACTCTGCCAGCTGAACATATATTTCACATGTCAATATCTGAATACAAATGCTAAAGTTTGCGGCCTCGGGGCGTAACAATTAACATCCACCGACTTCTTCAGGGGAAATCATAGGGACCGACTCCCCTTCAGGAGGTAGGACGAATAGAGAACGCACTTGGACCCCAAGTGCAAGCGGAGAGTAGAGACTTGGACTTAGGAAATGTGCTTATGCGTTACTTAAGAGCCTAAGTAAGGAAAGTTCTTATCGTTGCTCAAATAGACATACACAAAATCATCTACAATACCAGAGAGACTATCGGACAGTGGGTACGCGAGCCGACCACTCCAGACCAGTTGACCTTTACCCGAACAACGTGCAGCAACTTTAGAACAACTCAGGTAATGGCCCATCAAGTACTAAGCTGGTGATTCAAGTGCCTGAGAGGTATTGATTGGCTCGTGGAACCGATATACCAAACGCGTGGTGGTAAACGTTCACTACCAGAGGGGGATTTTTTTTTTACTAAGTTTCTTACTGTCGAGTACTCCAGGGATCAGATTCACGAAAGCACTTACGCAAGCACTTATGAACCTGTACATCTTTTCTCAATCTTTGGCGGCTTTGTTTCCAATTATTAAACAGTTAATGAGCTTTGAAGCACCAGGAGGCTGTTTATAACAATAACAACAGTTGAATGGGAAGTTTTCATG